ACTCCGGAGTAGGGGAGGGGGCAAGGAGGGGGCCTTAAAGGGGCGACGCCGGGCCAGTGAGGTCGCCCAGGGTCGGGGGCTCGGGCCAACGTGCGCAGCGGCAGAGGGTCCCCGCCCGGCCAGGTGTCGGTCCTCGGTGCAGCCCGGCCGCTGCCCCGGGGGCAGGACCCGAGGGACCCACCTCCAGCCCTCTCCGAGGAGAGGTCCTGGGGCGTCGAGGGGGCCGACACAGTCCCTGGACAATAAAGGGCCTGGTTGCAGCATCAGGATGAATTTTGCGAAGCGATTTCCTGCCGGTTAATTAAAGTGTAACCAGTCGTTTAACCGGGGCGAGGAAGGAAGTGAAAGGCTGGGAATGGAATGACATTTTTCCCCTGGGTACGCAGACCGGCTGCGGAATTCTTCCACTGTGTTGTTTGTGTTCTCCAGCTTGCCTTTAAAAGACTCGAAATTATCTGGATTCTGACATCCTCCTTTTCGGGCCTGCTGAGTCACGGAATATTCTCAGTGCCAGGATGACTCAGTTCACGGAACCCGAGCCAGAAGATCATGAGTTTTGGTCCCAGATCAGAACCTGGGCACTTCCCCAGTGCTGATACGGCAGGCGAAGACCGGGGCCCGCAGGGTGCTGGGTGCTGCAACCGGCCCCAAGGCTGCGGTGGTTAAACCTTTGGAGCCTTCAAGCAAAGAGGATGCACAACGCGGATGAGACAGGAGACGGATTGGGTTTTGTTTTGTTTTGGTTTTAACTTCTCAGGACCTTAATGATAAAATGTGAATGATAAAATACACGACAGAAACAAAACAACACGTACTTGGTTTTTAACTCAGTAGTCCCGCTGAGATAGGAATAGTGGGAATCTGAATCAATGAAATAAGTGTTAGCCCCAGAACTCCTAATCAGGAGGGCCTTAAGGATATTGGCTGGATGAAGGAGGGAGGGTTACCTAGGAACTTGTTACATTGTTGAGCTTATTTAGCAAGCACATGGATCATTGTTGGTTTATTTGATGAGATGGGTGGAGATTATGCATGGCTAAAGGTCTCTAACCCCTCACCGTTGGCACCTTCCTTTGGGAGGATAAAGTTATGGGGACTATAATAAGGTTTTAATTCTTTCATATTTGAGTTGAAGCAAAATAAATATATTCATTTATACCTAGATGGGATGATATTGTCTCTCAGTCCTTCCTTGTACTTGAGTACAATTGAGGGCATATAGGACAGAGATAAGGATGTTAGTTGTAAATAAAGTTACAGATATTTATAAGTATGTTCATTTCTATTTTTAATAAATATATTAATGCATTTGCCTGATTATAAATTTTCAGTACTTCATTAGATATTGGCAAACCAAAGGGTAGGTCTCTTTTTGTTTCCCACCAACAGTCAAAGCAGATAAGATAAGGAGACCCCAAAGGTTGCAAAATTAACATAAATATGTGTCTTTGCCACTGCTCCCCTTTGGGTCCAAAATTAACTTCAAATTATTACTTATACAAATGTACCCATAATTTAATTACCAGAACCTATCTGATATTTGTAAAGCACGTAAAGATACCTTGAATTAATCTCTAAATTCTTTTGCTTCTGGGAATGTGTTACACTGACAAGGAAGTATCCCTTTTGAAGAGAGGTAAAGTATAACCAGCCAATGTGCTTAATGATAAAAATTTGGCTCCATTGTTTGGATCTTGATTCAAACAAACCGAAGGTCCAAACAAAAAATTTAGGACAATTTGGAAAATTTGAACACTCACTAGATATTTGATGATATCAACAAATTAAGCATTTTAGGTACCTGGAGATGCCACAGTTGACTAAAAAAAAAAAAGTAAAGATATAATTTTAAAAAAGGGGCGGGGGAGCCAGGCGCAGTGGCTCACACCTGTAATCCTAGCATTCTGGGAGGCTGAGGCGGGAAGATCATTTGAGCTCAGAAGTTCGAGCTCAGGAGCCAGAGCGAGACCCCATCTCTACTAAAAAATAGAAAGAAATGATCTGGACAACTAAAAAAATATATATATATAAAAATTAGCCAGGCATGGTGGCACGTACCTGTAGTCCCAGCTACTTGGGAGGCTGAGGCAGGAGGATCGCTTGGGCCTAGGAGTTCGAGGTTGCTGTGAGCTAGGCTGACGCCACAGCACAGGCAATGCACATACATACATACATAAACAAACAAACAAATAAAATTTTTTTAAAAAGGGGAGGATGTTTGTGAGATTTTCTTTTACTGCAATTTAGACTGTGTTTTTCAAAAAATTCCAGAGCCTTTTTAACACAAATTCTTGGAATCTTAAATTCTTGGAAACTCTATTATCTACTAAACAGACATGGAGCTTAGAAGAATAATGTGAACATACGGGAAATGTTGGATTCAGGACCCTCAAAAGATGATCTTAGTGCCCAATCATTAGTACCTCTATGCAAGAAAGGCAGGTTGAGGGGATATCGCTGTTTATTGCACAGGTGAGTGAGTGCCAAAAAAATTTTTTAAATCCCATTTAGAACTCCAGGGAAAAGAGATTTCTTCCCATCAGGATCCATATAAATAATTTCAAGAAAGGATGCTGATTGACCTGGCTTTGGTCACCTGGCATACCCACCACTAGCCAGGTGAATACAATAACATAATTGGCAGTCCACCAGAAAACTATGGAGTTTGGGAACAGCTATTCAAAGGAAAGGTTGCTGTTGCCAGAATGGGGCAGGTTACAAGGCAGGAAAAAAAAAAAAAAACAGATGTCTACTACATCAGTGTTTAGAATGTGATATAATTAGAAAAATAATTTAAAAGTGTGTTTTGTTTTTTTTTTTGAGACAGAGTCTCACTCTGTTGCCCGGGCTAGAGTGAGTGCCGTGGCGTCAGCCTAGCTCACCGCAACATCACACTCCTGGGCTCAAGCGATCCTTCTGCCTCAGCCTCCCGAGTAGCTGGGACTACAGGCATGCGCCACCATGCCCGGCTAATTTTTTCTATATATTTTTAGTTATCCGATTAATTTCTTTCTCTTTTTAGTAGAGACGGGGTCTCGCTCTTGCTCAGGCTGGTCTCGAACTCCTAAGCTCAAACGATCCGCCTGCCTCGGCCTCCCCGAGTGCTAGGATTGCAGGCGTGAGCCACCGCGCCGGCCTAAAAGTGTGTTTTGACCTTTCAAGATTGCAACTTTGTCCTTTTTTCCTCTTATAATTACCAATGTGTTTATTTTTCCATTCCTTAGTCTTTCTGACCTCACTTCCCTGTATCCCAAGCCTGAGCACCACTATCCTATATACTTTATCTTTTATATTTAGAAATGCAACTTAAAATAATAATTACTACTAATACTATAACAACATCAGCCTATGTTTTCATACTCTTTTACACTCTTCAAAATTACACTGAAGCCGGGAATGTTATCACCTATATAGAGGTGAAGAGACTAAGACTCAAAGAGCTTAAGTAACCTCTGTAGATGAGTAGGAAGCAAAGTCAGGAAGACAGCCCGCTCGTTCTGGCTCCAGGTCCAATGCTCTTTCCTCTTCTGTTGTGTACAGGTCATGATAGGGAAGAGGGTAAAGGAAAAGCTATCTCACATTTCCAAGGTTTTTAGGTTATCAAATAAGAATTTAAAAGTAGGGGAAAATTAATGTGATACTAGAAGAGAATGACAATCTCCCCCTTCAAAGTTACAGTGACTACACATGATACTTTGTGTTAGGCTTATAGATCCTGCCTGGGTCCTTGGTACAAATCCAAGCATAACAAGATAAGATATCTTTTGTGGCTTTGCTCAGGTAAAGACAGGATTCCTCTTGTATGAGGTAAAACCCTTCCTTCCCACTCAGCCCCGTGCACCCAATTCTTTTTTTTTTTTTTTTACAGAATTGTCCAAACTCATTTGTATTTTAAATATATTTAAATATTTTAAATTGACACATAATAATTATACATATTCATAGGGTACGTAGTGATGTTTTGATACATACAACGTATACTGATCAAATCAGGGTAATTTGTCACCTCAAACATTTATCATTTCTTTATTGAATGTTAAGAACATTCAATATCCTCTCTTCTAGCTATTTGAAAATATATAATACATTATTGTTAGCTATTGCCTACAGTGCTGTCTAGAACGCGAGAATTTATTCCTCTTATATAGCTGTAATTTTATATCCTTTAACCAATTTCTCTCTCTAGCTCTTCTGGTTACCCTTTCTAGCCTCTAGTAACTACTATCCTACTCTCTACTTCTATGAGATCAACTTTTTTAGCTTTCTCATATGAGAGAGAACATGCAGTATTTATCTTTCTTTTCCTGTCTTATTTCACTTAACGTAATGTCTTCCAGGTTCATCCATGTTGCTGTGAATGACCGGATTTCATTTTTTAT